ACAATAAATAAGTATGCCACATATGCACTTATTTAATAAGTCAATATTGACTGTAAGAAAGTGCGAGAACGGGTTGCTCTCTCCCACCTCCCTTTTTCTTACTTCTCCTTCCTGCAATCTCCTCCCTCTCCGTCGCCTGCTCGCTTTCCACCTTTCGCACCCAATCATATCTTCCTCACCTGTTTCCTTACCTCTTTCTCTTCCTGCATCCTCCCCTGCCTCTCTCTCTCAGTTAGATCTCTCGCTCCGCCTCTCTCTCTCTCTCTCTCTCTCCTCTCTCTCTCTCTCTTCTCCCTTTCTCTTCTCTCTCTCTCTCTCTCTCTCTCTCTCTCTCTCTCTCTCTCTCTCTCTCTCTCTGTCTCTCTGTCTCTCTCTCTCTGTCTCTCTGTCTCTCTGTCTCTCTCCTCCTCTTCTCTCTCTCTCTCTCTCTCTCTCTCTCTCTCTCTCTCTCTCTCTCTCTCTCTCTCTCTCTCTCTCTCTCTCTCTCTCTCTCTCTCTCTCAAAATTAATATTAGTACTTTATTGTTTTCGGGTAAGCATGAGGAATGGGTAAACAGTGCGATTACGCAAAAGGAATTACCGGAAAAATAGGCAGATGGATCTACAATTTCCTGACTAACAGAACCCAATGTGTAATAGTCAACAAAATAAAATCCAGCCCATCAACCCTGAAGAACTCAGTCCCCCAGGGTACTGTGCTTGCTCCAGTACTTTTTCTCATCCTCATATCGGACATAGACAAGAACACAACCTATAGCACTGTATCATCCTTTGCAGATGACACTAGGATTTTCATGAGAGTAGGCAACATAGAGGACACGGCAAACCTCCAGTCAGATGTAGATCAGGTCTTTCAATGGGCTACAGAAAATAATATGGTGTTTAACGAAGATAAGTTCCAGCTCATGCGCTATGGAAAAAAATGAAAATATAAAAAACGGAAAACCGTACAAAACTCAGGCAAATCATAACATAGAACGAAAAGGCAATGTAAAGGATCTGGGTGTACTCATGTCGGAAGACCTTACCTTTAAAGAACACAATAAAGTAGCCGTCACAACTGCAAGAAAAATGACAGGTTGGATAACAAGAACTTTTCACACTAGAGATGCTATATCGATGATGATACTTTTCAAAACGCTTGTCCTCTCTAGAGTGGAGTACTGCTGCACAATGACAGCCCCTTTCAAAGCTGAAGAAATTGCTGACCTGGAGAGCGTGCAGAGATCCTTTACTGCTAGAATCCACTCAGTAAAACATCTAAACTATTGGGATCGACTAAAGAGCCTAAACCTGTACTCCATTGAGCGCAGGCGGGAGAGATACATAATAATTTACACGTGGAAAATAATAGAGGGGCTGGTCCCAAACCTGCACACAGAAATAATATCACATGAGACCAGAAGACATAGCAGGATGTGCAGAATACCCCCGTTGAAAAGCAGAGGTGCAACAGGTACTCTGAGAGAGAACTCTATCAACATCAGAGGCCCAGACTGTTCAACACGTTTCCGCTACACATAAGGGCATAACTGGAAATCCCTCACAGTGTTCAAGAGAGAACTGGATAAGCACCTCCAAAGGATACCTGATCAATCAGACTGTGACTCATACGTCAGGCTGCGAGCAGCCGCGTCCAACAGCCTGGTTGATCAGTCCAGCAACCAGGAGGCCTGGTCGACGACCGGGCCGCGGGGACGCTAAGTCCCGGAAGCACCTCAAGGTAACCTCAAGGTAAGGTAACACATCAAGCTCCGGAAAACACACCAAATTTTATTTAAGAATTCATGAAAATCACAACAGGGTGTTATTGGTGCTGATATTTCTGAAGGTAAGGTACCTGGACCGACCCTGGCTGGCCTATGGCTCTCATATTACTACCGTGATTCAAACTGTAAATATGGGAGAGTTTGGCTTCAAAAGCCTCCCTCCCTCCTGTTCTCTTTCCTTATGATTCCCATTTTCTAATTCCCCTCCTATTCTTTCTCAATTCTGTTCTCTCTCCCATCTTTAGAGATGTTCTTTCTCTCGTTCCCTCTATCCCATTCGTTCTCTCTCTTCCATTCACTCTCTTTCATAACAAGTAAAGTGCACACCCAACAAACACAACGTTACCAAAACATTATATTTATGTTTGTTACTTCGAAGCAATGTTGTAGCAACGCTGTGATTGCGTTGTGTGTGATGAACAGCTGAGAGTCTTTGGTAGTGGGAAGGAGAGGTAATCCTACTTAAGGAGGGGCTTAGGGGTTATCTTCTTGAGGTTATCTTGAGATGATTTCAGGGATTAGCGTCCCCGCGGCCCGGTCCTCGATCACGCCTCCTTTTTGTTACACACAACCCAGGAAACACCTCGTGGCAACTGTCTAACTCCCAGGTATCTATTTAATACTAGGTGAACAGATACATTAGGGTGAAAGAAACTCTGCCCATTTGTTTCCGCCTCCACTGGGGATCGAACCCGGAACCTCAGGACAACGAATCCAGAGCGCTGTCCACTCTGCTGTCAGGCCGACCACAATTCCCTTGTGACACTCACCATGCAATTGCAAATCATAGAAAATTGTGTGAGGCTATAACTGCAAGCGTCTATAATTTCCAACGTTGGACAGACAAACAACCGGAACACTGACAATCTTAATTATAGATGTAAATTATACGTTTTACTGATTTTTTTTAAAATGAAACTTTCTATTGTTCATTGCCAACACAGATAGGGATGGATTTATAATAGATGTAGCAACAAAATAATAATATATGTGGACAATCAACTTTATGATAAATTATTAAGAATCTTCCAGTACATCAGATTCAATGAAATCTGGTATTGTGGACCATTTCTTGGCAGATGTAACTATGCCAAATCGAACTCATGCAATGACTACATCACACTGTCCGGTTCTGTGATGACTTGGTATATATATATATATATGTATATATTAATAGTTAATATATATATAATATATATATCTATATATATATATATATTATTTTGGTAGCAGTCTTCCTGTAGACACTATATTATTAAATATGACCGAAAAAGTACAACTATATTCTACCCACTTCAAGACTCCGCACCAATATAGAAGCATCAAGAAATATGGGACAATAGGCCCATGCAGTTACTTCCATTCTTCCTTTAACTTACCTAATATTATACCCATTGTTTCGTGGTTCTGTCTTGTGTTGAAAGTTTGTTTTCACCTCATCCAAAACTGTTGTAACATATCACCTCACCCAAATGCAGGTATAAAATGAAAGCTGTGTTAAACTCTGTTTAGTGTTTGCAGGTTATAGTTGTGTGTGTGTAAACTAAAGTCTTTGAAAATGTAATAAGTTATTACGAAAACGCGTTCAAGTGTCGCGTCAGACTAGAAATAAAATGAAATTTGGAGAATTGACTTTGCAATTACATCAACAGTGAAAAAGAAACATAAGAAATATTGAGAAATTCGTGTTAGAATTATTAATCTTACTTTTTTCGGTCATATTTAATATATATATTATATATATATATATATACTATATATAGATATATATATAATATATATATATATAAATATATATCTATAGATATATATATATATATATATATATTATCTAGATATATATATTATATATATATATTATATATATATATATCATTATATATATATATATATATATTATTATATATATAAAGTTTTCTTAGCTTTTTATACTGCAACTTTCAGGTGTTGCAAATTTCGTAATCTTGTAAATTATAAATAATCATATTAACTTAAGTTTTTAATAATTTCGTTAGGTTGTCTAGAGTCAGTTTGTATTTTGTTTCTCGCAAGCCTCAGTAGCCAATCGAATTACAAAATTAGGTTTTTAAATTCAAACATGGAGTGGAATCCACATCAAATTTTATGCAAAATTATCGTTGGCAAGATAACTCTCCATTTAATATCATAAGATTATTCAGACATGAAGTGCGATGGTTATTTGAAGACTGCAGAACACTTCTAGTCACAAAGAAATATTCCATCGGCATTTAGTTTGACCGGTATACTGCACCTTAGTTTACAATGACAATCCTAAGGTGAGTTGAAAAAAAAAATATTCCAAAACGTTTTTCATCGTGCAGTGTTACAATCACTTCCCTGATCACGAACATATGATAAAAGCAAAGCAAAAACTTACTTTGGCTGCACTAAAGTGGAGAAGTTCTGTGACGTCACAGAAGCCTGGACGCTCATGTTGGAGACTCCAGAAGGCTGGACGCTCGTGCTGGAGACTCCAGAAGCCTGGACGCTCGTGCTGGAGACTCCAGAAGCCTGGACGCTCGTGCTGGAGACTCCTGAAGCCTGGACGCTCGTGCTGGAGACTCCTGAAGCCTGGACGCTCGTGCTGGAGACTCCTGAAGCCTGGACGCTCGTGCTGGAGACTCCAGAAGCCTGGACGCTCGTGCTGGAGACTCCAGAAGGCTGGACGCTAGTGCTGGAGACTCCAGAAGCCTGGACGCTCGTGCTGGAGACTCCAGAAGCCTGGACGCTCGTGCTGGAGACTCCAGAAGCCTGGACGCTCGTGCTGGAGACTCCAGAAGCCTGGACGCTCGTGCTGGAGACTCCTGAAGCCTGGACGCTCGTACTGGAGACTCCTGAAGCCTGGACGCTCGTACTGGAGACTCCTGAAGCCTGGACGCTAGTTGCTGGAGACTCCAGAAGCCTGGACGCTAGTGCTGGAGACTCCAGAAGCCTGGACGCTCGTGCTGGAGACTCCTGAAGCCTGGATGCTCGTGCTGGAGACTCCTGAAGCTGGGACGCTCATGTTGGAGACTCCTGAAGCCTGGACGCTCATGTTGGAGACTCCTGAAGCCTGGACGCTCATGTTGGAGACTCCTGAAGCCTGGACGCTCATGTTGGAGACTCCTGAAGCCTGGACGCTCGTACTGGAGACTCCTGAAGCCTGGACGCTCGTACTGGAGACTCCAGAAGTCTGGACGCTAGTGCTGGAGGACTCCTGAAGTCGGGACGCTAGTGCTGGAGGACTCCAGAAGTCTGGACGCTCGTGCTGGAGACTCCTGAAGCCTGGACGCTCGTACTGGAGACTCCTGAAGCCTGGACGCTCGTACTGGAGACTCCAGAAGTCTGGACGCTCGTGCTGGAGACTCCAGAAGTCTGGACGCTAGTGCTGGAGACTCCAGAAGTCTGGACGCTAGTGCTGGAGACTCCAGAAGCCTGGACGCTCGTGCTGGAGACTCCAGAAGTCTGGACGCTAGTGCTGGAGACTCCAGAAGCCTGGAAGCTAGTGATGGAGACCCCAGAAGTCTGGACGCTAGTGCTGGAGACTCCAGAAGTCTGGACGCTCGTGCTGGAGACTCCTGAAGCCTGGACGCTCGTGATGGAGACTCCAGAAGCATAGGGACAGATAGTGATGGAGACTCCAGAAGCCTGGACGCTAGTGCTGGAGGACTCAAGAAGTCTGACCTGAGTACCTGAGTGTTTTACCTGAGTGTTGTTTACCTGAGTGTTGTACCTGAGTGTTGTACCTGAGTGTTGTACCTGAGTGTTGTACCTGTGTGTTGTACCTGAGTGTTGTTTACCTGAGTGTTGTACCTGAGTGTTGTACTCTGTGTGTTGTACCTGAGTGTTGTACCTGAGTGTTGTACTCTGTGTGTTGTACCTGAGTGTTGTACCTGAGTGTTGTACCTGAGTGTTGTACCTGTGTGTTGTACCTGTGTGTTGTACTGTGTTTACTGTGTTGTACTCTGTGTGTTGTACCTGAGTGTTGTACCTGAGTGTTGTACCTGAGTGTTGTACCTGTGTGTTGTACTCTGAGTGTACCTGTGTGTTGTACCTGAGTGTTGTACCTGAGTGTTGTACCTGAGTGTTGTACCTGAGTGTTGTACCTGAGTGTTGTACTCTGAGTGTTGTACCTGAGTGTTGTACCTGAGTGTTGTACCTGAGTGTTGTTACCTGTGTGTTGTACCTGAGTGTTGTACCTGAGTGTTGTACCTGAGTGTTGTACCTGAGTGTTGTACCTGAGTGTTGTACCTGTGTGTTGTACCTGAGTGTTGTACTCTGTGTGTTGTACTCTGAGTGTTGTACCTGAGTGTTGTACCTGAGTGTTGTACTCTGAGTGTTGTACCTGAGTGTTGTACCTGAGTGTTGTACCTGAGTGTTGTACCTGAGTGTTGTACTCTGTGTGTTGTACCTGAGTGTTGTACCTGTGTGTTGTACCTGAGTGTTGTACTCTGTGTGTTGTACCTGAGTGTTGTACCTGTGTGTTGTACCTGAGTGTTGTACCTGAGTGTTGTACCTGAGTGTTGTACCTGAGTGTTGTACCTGAGTGTTGTACCTGAGTGTTGTACCTGAGTGTTGTACCTGAGTGTTGTACTCTGAGTGTTGTACCTGAGTGTTGTACCTGTGTGTTGTACCTGAGTGTTGTACTCTGAGTGTTGTACCTGAGTGTTGTACCTGAGTGTTGTACCTGAGTGTTGTACCTGAGTGTTGTACTCTGTGTGTTGTACCTGAGTGTTGTACCTGAGTGTTGTACCTGAGTGTTGTACCTGTGTGTTGTACCTGAGTGTTGTACTCTGTGTGTTGTACCTGAGTGTTGTACCTGAGTGTTGTACCTGAGTGTTGTACCTGAGTGTTGTACCTGAGTGTTGTACCTGAGTGTTGTACCTGAGTGTTGTACCTGAGTGTTGTACCTGTGTGTTGTACTGAGTGTTGTACTCTGAGTGTTGTACCTGAGTGTTGTACCTGAGTGTTGTACCTGAGTGTAGTGTACCTGAGTGTTGTTACCTGTGTGTTGTACCTGAGTGTTGTACCTGAGTGTTGTACCTGAGTGTTGTACTCTGTGTGTTGTACCTGAGTGTTGTACCTGTGTGTTGTACCTGAGTGTTGTACCTGAGTGTTGTACCTGAGTGTTGTACTCTGAGTGTTGTACCTGAGTGTTGTACCTGAGTGTTGTACCTGAGTGTTGTACCTGAGTGTTGTACTCTGTGTGTTGTACCTGAGTGTTGTACCTGAGTGTTGTACTCTGTGTGTTGTACCTGAGTGTTGTACCTGTGTGTTGTACCTGAGTGTTGTACCTGAGTGTTGTACCTGAGTGTTGTACCTCTGTGTGTTTACTCTGAGTGTTGTACCTGAGTGTTGTACCTGAGTGTTGTACCTGAGTGTTGTACCTGAGTGTTGTACCTGAGTGTTGTACCTGAGTGTTGTACCTGAGTGTTGTACCTGAGTGTTGTACTCTGTGTGTTGTACCTGAGTGTTGTACTCTTGTTGTACCTGAGTGTTGTACTCTGTGTGTTGTACCTGAGTGTGTACTCTGTGTGTTGTACCTGAGTGTTGTACCTGAGTGTGTGTTGTACCTGAGTGTTGTACCTGAGTGTTGTACTCTGTGTGTTGTACCTGAGTGTTGTACCTGAGTGTTGTACCTGAGTGTTGTACCTGAGTGTTGTACCTGAGTGTTGTACCTGTGTGTTGTACCTGTGTGTTGTTACCTGAGTGTTGTACCTGAGTGTTGTACTCTGAGTGTTGTACCTGAGTGTTGTACCTGAGTGTTGTACCTGAGTGTTGTACCTGAGTGTTGTACCTGAGTGTTGTACCTGAGTGTTGTACTCTGTGTGTTGTACCTGAGTGTTGTACCTGAGTGTTGTACCTGTGTGTGTACCTGAGTGTTGTACCTGAGTGTTGTACTCTGTGTGTTGTACCTAGTGTTGTACTCTGTGTGTTGTACCTGAGTGTTGTACCTGAGTGTTGTACTCTGTGTGTTGTACCTGAGTGTTGTACCTGAGTGTTGTACCTGAGTGTTGTACCTGAGTGTTGTACCTGAGTGTGTGTTGTACCTGAGTGTTGTACCTGAGTGTTGTACCTGAGTGTTGTACTCTGAGTGTTGTACCTGAGTGTTGTACCTGAGTGTTGTACCTGAGTGTTGTTGTACTCTGTGTGTTGTACCTGAGTGTTGTACCTGAGTGTTGTACCTGAGTGTTGTACCTGAGTGTTGTACCTGAGTGTTGTACCTGAGTGTTGTACCTGAGTGTTGTACCTGAGTGTTGTACCTGAGTGTTGTACTCTGTGTGTTGTACCTGAGTGTTGTTGTACCTGAGTGTTGTACCTGAGTGTTGTACCTGAGTGTTGTACCTGTGTGTTGTACTCTGAGTGTTGTACTGTGTGTTGTACCTGAGTGTTGTACCTGAGTGTTGTACTCTGTGTGTTGTACTCTGTGTGTTGTACCTGAGTGTTGTACCTGAGTGTTGTACCTGAGTGTTGTTGTACCTGAGTGTTGTACTCTGTGTGTTGTACCTGAGTGTTGTACCTGAGTGTTGTACCTGAGTGTTGTACTCTGAGTGTTGTTACCTGTGTGTTGTACCTGAGTGTTGTACCTGAGTGTTGTACCTGAGTGTTGTACCTGAGTGTTGTACCTGAGTGTTGTACCTGTGTGTTGTACCTGAGTGTTGTACTCTGTGTTGTACCTGAGTGTTGTACCTGAGTGTTGTACCTGAGTGTTGTACTCTGAGTGTTGTACCTGAGTGTTGTACTCTGAGTGTTGTACTCTGAGTGTTGTACCTGAGTGTTGTACTCTGAGTGTTGTACCTGAGTGTTGTACTCTGAGTGTTGTACCTGAGTGTTGTACCTGAGTGTTGTACCTGTGTGTTGTACTCTGAGTGTTGTACCTGAGTGTTGTACCTGAGTGTTGTACCTGAGTGTTGTACCTGAGTGTTGTACCTGAGTGTTGTACCTGAGTGTTGTACCTGAGTGTTGTACTCTGTGTGTTGTACCTGAGTGTTGTACCTGAGTGTTGTACCTGTGTGTTGTACTCTGAGTGTTGTACCTGAGTGTTGTACTCTGAGTGTTGTACCTGAGTGTTGTACTCTGTGTGTTGTACTCTGAGTGTTGTACCTGTGTGTTGTACCTGAGTGTTGTACTCTGAGTGTTGTACCTGAGTGTTGTACCTGAGTGTTGTACCTGAGTGTTGTACCTGAGTGTTGTACCTGAGTGTTGTACCTGTGTGTTGTACTCTGTGTGTTGTACCTGAGTGTTGTACCTGAGTGTTGTACCTGAGTGTTGTACCTGAGTGTTGTACCTGTGTGTTGTACCTGAGTGTTGTACCTGAGTGTTGTACTCTGAGTGTTGTACCTGAGTGTTGTACCTGAGTGTTGTACCTGAGTGTTGTACCTGAGTGTGTTGTACCTGAGTGTTGTACCTGAGTGTTGTACCTGAGTGTTGTACCTGAGTGTTGTACCTGAGTGTTGTACCTGAGTGTTGTACCTGAGTGTTGTACCTGAGTGTTGTACCTGAGTGTTGTACCTGAGTGTTGTACCTGAGTGTTGTACCTGAGTGTTGTACTCTGAGTGTTGTACCTGAGTGTTGTACCTGAGTGTTGTACCTGAGTGTTGTACCTGAGTGTTGTACTCTGTGTGTTGTACCTGAGTGTTGTACTCTGTGTGTTGTACCTGAGTGTTGTACCTGAGTGTTGTACCTGAGTGTTGTACCTGAGTGTTGTACTCTGAGTGTTGTACCTGAGTGTTGTACCTGAGTGTTGTACCTGAGTGTTGTACCTGAGTGTTGTACCTGAGTGTTGTACCTGAGTGTTGTGTTGTTGTACCTGAGTTGTACCTGAGTGTTGTACCTGAGTGTTGTACCTGTGTGTACTCTGAGTGTTGTACCTGAGTGTTGTACCTGAGTGTTGTTACCTGAGTGTTGTACCTGAGTGTTGTACCTGAGTGTTGTACCTGAGTGTTGTACCTGAGTGTTGTACCTGAGTGTTGTACCTGAGTGTTGTACCTGAGTGTTGTACCTGAGTGTTGTACCTGAGTGTTGTACCTGAGTGTTGTACCTGAGTGTTGTACCTGAGTGTTGTTACCTGAGTGTTGTTACCTGAGTGTTGTACCTGAGTGTTGTACCTGAGTGTTGTACCTGAGTGTTGTACCTGAGTGTTGTACCTGAGTGTTGTTACCTGAGTGTTGTACCTGAGTGTTGTTACCTGAGTGTTGTACCTGAGTGTTGTTACCTGAGTGTTGTTACCTGAGTGTTGTTACCTGAGTGTTGTACCTGAGTGTTGTACCTGAGTGTTGTACCTGAGTGTTGTACCTGAGTGTTGTACCTGAGTGTTGTTACCTGAGTGTTGTTACCTGAGTGTTGTACCTGAGTGTTGTACCTGAGTGTTGTTACCTGAGTGTTGTACCTGAGTGTTGTTACCTGAGTGTTGTTACCTGAGTGTAGTTACCTGAGTGTTGTTACCTGAGTGTTGTTACCTGAGTGTTGTTACCTGAGTGTTGTTACCTGAGTGTTGTTACCTGAGTGTTGTTACCTGAGTGTTGTTACCTGAGTGTTGTTACCTGAGTGTTGTTACCTGAGTGTTGTTACCTGAGTGTTGTTACCTGAGTGTTGTTACCTGAGTGTTGTTACCTGAGTGTTGTTACCTGAGTGTTGTTACCTGAGTGTAGTTACCTGAGTGTTGTTACCTGAGTGTTGTTACCTGAGTGTAGTTACCTGAGTGTAGTTACCTGAGTGTTGTTACCTGAGTGTAGTTACCTGAGTGTTGTTACCTGAGTGTAGTTACCTGAGTGTTGTTACCTGAGTGTAGTTACCTGAGTGTCGGGAGCAGCGAGAGACATTGCTGCCTCACAAACTCTCCTCACCGCTCTACCTTCCATGTCAAACTTCACAAGTAATTGTGACAAGACTGACTGTACGGATTGGCGGTTTCTTGCCCAATTTCACATAAACACGTGTTGGAATACCTTCGCACTAATACGTCCACAGGGAAGAAACTCTAGCTCTTGGGCCACTGCACAGTTTTCCACACCACCAACCATCATGTCACATTTCTCTACCAATCTCATATATACATTATTGGCCATAACACAATTTCGTTTATAAAATTTACCTCCAACTTGCGAAGTTCACTTTGCCTTTGTCATCTATTTCACCAGTGTGAATCATTGGCAACATATTCATTTTGTGTCTATCTTTCGAACGCACTGGTCAAATTTTCGTTTTTCTGACCTGAAAATCACCCGCTGAAATAGCTGTACCAAATACAGCTATTTGTACCAAATAGAGCTACTTGTACCGTCATTTCTCTCCAGTGTGGCTTTACTGTACCACAGACTCGAGTCTTATGGTTAAGCTGGAACACGTATAATAATTGTTAGTATACAAAATGTTCATTAGTGGTTCCATGAGCGTGTTTACCTCACTGCCAGGATAACCATAAGGAATCTTTACCGCACTGTTGACACAACGAACCTTCGCCTGTAGGCAACATAGAGGACACGGCGAACCTCCAGTCAGATGTAGATCAGGTCTTTTTATGGGCTACAGAAAATAATATGGTGTTTAACGAAGATAAGTTCCAGCTCATGCGCTATGGAAAAAATGAAAATATAAAAACGGAAACCACGTACAAAACTCAGGCAAATCATAACATAGAACGAAAAGGCAATGTAAAGGATCTGGGTGTACTCATGTCGGAAGACCTTACCCGTAAAGAACACAATAAAGTAGCCGTCACAACTGCAAGAAAAATGACAGGTTGGATAACAAGAACTTTTCACACTAGAGATGCTATACCGATGATGATACTTTTCAAAACGCTTGTGCTCTCTAGAGTGGAGTACTGCTGCACAATGACAGCACCTTTCAAAGCTGGAGAAATTACTGACCTGGAGAGCGTGCAGAGATCCTTTACTGCTAGAATCCACTCAGTAAAACATCTAAACTATTGGGACCGACTAAAGAGCCTAAAACTGTACTCCCTCGAGCGCAGGCGGGAGAGGTACATAATAATTTACACGTGGAAAATATTAGAGGGGCTGGTCCCAAACCTGCACACAGAAATAACATCACATGAGACCAGAAGACATGGCAGGATGTGCAGAATACCCCCGTTGAAAAACAGAGGTGCAACAGGTACTCTGAGAGAGAACTCTATCAACATCAGAGGTCCGAGACTGTTCAACACGCTTCCACTACACATAAGGGGCATAACTGGCCGACCCCTCACAGTGTTCAAGAGAGAACTGGATAAGCACCTCCAAAGGATACCTGATCAACCAGGCTGTGACTCATACATCAGGCTGCGAGCAGCCGCGTCCAACAGCCTGGTTGATCAGTCCGGCAACCAGGAGGCCTGGTCGACGACCGGGCCGCGGGGACGCTAAGCCCTGGAAGCACCTCAAGGTAACCTCAAGGTAAGGTGGCCACACCACTACAAGAACCGCTCACACTAGGTTCATCCATACTACTTGTATCAGATCCAATGTCACAGAAGCCAGAAAGAGGGTCATCCCCTACATTGTTACATCGTTCAGGAACGGCAGATGGCATAGGTGGTGATAATAATAATAATCACTGTGGCAGTGATTATTAGTATATCACTGTATGGACGTCATCAATGTCCGTATCCGATCGTTGTGTTAGGTCTTAATACGGTTTTGGGTCGTCAGCATCACTATTAGGGTCCCCCTCTAAACAGTATGTCACGTATTTCATCCTCAGAGCGTGAGTTTTCAGCCACGCGACCCATTAGTGCCTGGAGGCGCGTGTGTCAGCCTTGGTAGCTTACTTGAAATTGAGCCTACTCTCGCCCGTGTTGGGAATTTTTGTGAAGATAACGGACATACACTGAAGGCCTCGGGACCACAATATGCTACCAAAGTTACTGCACACGAATCTTGAATCTTAAGTGATATCAACAAACTTCAAAAGGTATCCGGCACACCACCCATCGAGCACCTTAAGGCGACATGTGCAGTACTTGATATAAGGTATTCAATAGATAAGAGCCCAACAGCTCAGTTTGTCTAGTACTTGCCTGGATATACAATTATGGCACTCAAACATTCCAATTCCAAGGACAAAGGCAATTAAGGAGTGGAAGGCTGGGAGAAGGATGTGGAAAGCTTGTGCAGGGAACAGGATACGAGTCAGAGGAGGGAAGTGCAGCTTGGAGGCCTAATTACTGTCGATTTACGACTAGGCAGTGATAATATTAGGCGTTTTTGTTGTCCATTTGCTTCCATGGGCGTCTCACAATGGCTCGGATCTCAAGCAGCTGGGTGGAGTTTAGTTACGTCGTCAGACGGGCTTATACTTCCTAGGACATCATCTTCTCTTTGGTGAGCTTCTTCTTGTTCGTCTGGCTTCGCGTAGACACGGCGGCGCTGTTTGCAGCAGAGGACTGGAGTAAGAAGTCTTCCGGGCTGTTGGGGTGAAGGTGTTATGGGGGAGATGTCGCTCTCACAGAGACGTCTTCGCCATATGAGTCAGACGGGTTGTCTGCGTCCGGTGCAGAGTGGGTTGTAGGTGCAGGTTGTGCTCCACAACCCCAGGCGTTGTGGAGCCGGGGGTTGCCGGTAAATTTGGATTCGGGTCGCAGGTTGTTTCGCTGGCGGTGGCTGATCGTGAGTCGACGCCTGCTAGCACAGGGGTGGTTGGTGTTGTAGATGGCGAGCTGGTCATTGTTGCGCAGGGGCCTCCTCGAGTTCCAACTGGAATGTTGGGAGACGCAGGGCCCGTTGCTGGTGTTGGTGGGGTCAGCACTGCCTCAGGAACACTTATCCCAGTTAAGGCATTTGTGGCATACAGGGTGTTGAGGGGTCTAACACACAAGCGGTTGTCGGTCCCGGCGATCCGTTCTGAGAGGAGCATTAGGGCGGGTATGACGCCGTCGTTTGGAGGGATGACAGGGTGTGCGGGAGATGGTCAAAGTGGCGGGCCCCCAGGGTGCCGGTTGGGATATTTGCAAGGAGAGGCCGATGCCTGGAAACACAGGGAAGGTGCCTGGACTGCCGATGTGCTCAGCTGTGGGAGAGCTGGGGCTGGCTGAGGCGGTGGCAGGGGTAGTGGGTGTCGCTGAGATCATCATCTGAGCGATTGCGTCCTGTGTGCGAGGGCAGTGATATGAGATCGCGGTGTGGTCTTCCTTACAAAGATGGCAGCATTTGGTGTCAGCCTTGCAGGTCGTGTAGTAGTGATTTGTAGCGCAAATACTGCACTTGACGACGCGTTGTGTGCATTTAGCGGTTGTGGGTATATGCGTAGCACTTGAAGCATTGTCGTGGAGTGTAACCGTTCCTTCTTCACCTGGCTTGGTAGAATCTTGATGGCAAAGCACTTAAGCCTTTGTGAAATGGCAAGGCCTGTCTCGATTGTGGTGAAGGTAAGTTTCATGGCCGTTCGGGGATCGTTGGCAATTTTCTTCAAGATAGTCATATCGGTCGTCAGAACTGAAGAGTTTTCGGAGACGATGGTGTCCAGGATGTCGTCGACCTTGTGTTCGGTGGTCCAAGTGGTCGTTCTTCTGATGAAAACTGTTCTCTCGGCTAGGAAGCTTCGCGGAAATAGTGAGGCAGAGGAGCGCTGCTCGTAGCGTGCGCCGGGTAGGTAGTAGATACAGTAAGTTGAGGTCCGCTTTTTGGGGATAGTAAAGAGCAACCTTTTCTCCCTCTTGGCAGATATCAATGGTTCGAAATAATTGATTTCTTCGTGAATGTCTGGTTGTCCAGTGAGTGAACCTTCACTTTGTACAGCATAGTAGGGGTGGCAATGTGTTATGTATGCTATAGCGGATGACTGCTTCTGGATGTTACCCCTTCAACAGGTCGCAGTTGCGTTGGAAGTCGTGTAGAGTGGCTCGAGCTTGCTGGTGCTCTACCCGACAATGCTCGCTACATAAGGAGGCTCCTCCATCTTCTCCCGAGTATGTACAGGATGAGAGTGGGGCTGACCTCCTAGTGCAATGCGCCTTGCCGACTATCACACGATTGGTCACTGTGGTCTGTGAGAGCGGACACGTCTTTGCCAGTGGCCAGCGAACAGAAGCATCATCCACTCGAGCCTACAGTATTTAATTTGCTTTATTTTTTGCATGTGATTAACCTCGTCATGTGCTTAATTGCACAGAACCATCAGTAAAGGCATTTAATTCACTTGATTTGGGAATTTGGTGAAGACTTTAAATAACTTTTAGTGTTATACATCTCATGGTTTCAATGTTATGGGTTTGTTTTAAACTGGTAGGTGTATAAATGTATAGAGTGTTGCACATCTTTCCACGGGGGAAATGTAGTTAATAATTTTACCAGGATGAAGAGAGAGATTCGTTTTCATAAGATTATTGGCATAACTGAGACACACACATTCTGTAATTCTTCGTGGAGGATTGAGGGAACAGTGATAATTGTTTAGAATGGATCTCAATGTAATGTTAATAGTGCTTAGGGGGGCAACATTACTTTTCCCAATTTTTATCATCAAAGACACTATTAAGCAAAACCATTCCCTCAAAAATATTACAGTTCCTTTCTAATGCTGACAGCTATTGAAGCGCCCAGGATGATGTGCTCGGCAGCATTTTAAACTACATCTACGCCTGCGTAACTGTTCAGGAGAAATATTAACAAGATATAAGGCATGATGGTTAACTACTGATTGCCCGAAGGCAATATGATAAAAATACAGGACATATTTTAGGCTAATGCCAACCCATTTCCCTACAAGAGTTTTCTGAAATTTTAGTAGCTCAAGATGCTTTTTTTTTTGGCGAAGGTTGCTGATGAGATCTGCACCATCGACCTTGATCCAAGATATTTATAAGACTCGCACGCCTTCCCGGGCAATCCAGTATTACAAACAAAACACACATCAGAAGATGGGGATGCGATGACGTTTCGGTCCGTCCTGGACCAATATCAAGTCGTGTCCAGTACGGACAGAACCATCAGTTCGTGTCCGTCCGTGCCCGTGGCCGTAGTCGAAACGTCGTCGTTTCGATCTTCAGCCCCGTTATTGTGACTCATCATCAACTTCATTGATATTATAGTTATCAGCGTGAAGAGAAAGGGAGCAAAAAAGCTCTGTTTATCAGCAGAAACAAAAATACACTGATTATCAAATCCGTCGATTTGTTGCGTCCCGACACCTCCCCTTCAAGGTGGTGCATCATAATATCTCCCCCTTCAAGGTGGTGCACCATAATATCTCCCCCTTCAAGCTGACGCCTCACTTTTTCAAGCTGGTGTTCCATGCTACTTCCTCACCAAGCTGGTGCGTCCCTTCTGTGGTCACTTTTGTGGTCCCTTCTGTGGTCCCCTCTGTGGTCTCCTCTGTGGTCCCCACTGTGGTCTCCTCTGTGGTCTCCTCTGTGGTCCCCTCTGTGTTCTCCTCTGTGGTCTCCTCTGTGGTCCCCTCTGTGGTCCCCTTTGTGGTCTCCTTTGTGGTCCTCTCTGTGGTCCCCTCTGTGGTCTCCTCTGTGGTCCCCTCTGTGGTCTCCTCTGTGGTCTCCTCTGGTCCCCTGTGTGGTCCTCTCTGTGGTCCCCTTTGTGGTCCCCTCTGTGGTCCTCTCTGTGGTCCCCTCTGTGGTCTCCTCTGTGGTCTCCTCTGGTCCCCTGTGTGGTCCCCTCTGTGGTCTCCTCTGTGGTCTCCTCTGTGGTCTCCTCTGTGGTCCCCTCTGTGGTCTCCTGTGTGGTCTCCTCTGTGGTCTCCTCTGTGGTCTCCTCTGTGGCCCCTTTGCGGTCCTCTTTGTGGTCCCATCTGCACTTCTTTCTGTGGTTCAATGAATGGTTTTCTATGTGGATCCTGTGGTTCCGTCTGTGGATCCTTCTCCAGTTGGCTGTGTGGTGTATCCTGGCGTATCCAGAACCCAGGCGAATCCTGGCCTAGGTGATACCCTACAGTATCCTCCAGTATCCAGGCGTATACTCGAGGACGTGATGTTCACAGGACGTGATGTTCATTGGACGTGATGTTTACTGGACGTGATGTTCACTAGACGTGATGTTCACTGGACGTGATGCTTACTGGCCGTGATGTTCATTGGACGTGATGTTTAATGGACGTGATGCTCACTGGACGTGATGCTCACTGGACGTGATGCTCACTGGACGTGATGCTCACTGGACGTGATGCTCACTGGACGTATGCTGGACGTGATGCTCACTGGACGTGATGTTCACTGGACGTGATGCTTACTGGGCGTGATGTTCATTGGACGTGATGCTTACTGCTTACTGGACACAGGGTGATGCTCACTGGATGGACGTGATGCTCACTGGACGTGATGCTCACAGGACGTGATGCTCACTGGACGTGATGCTCACTGGACGTGATGTTCACTGGACGTGATGCTCACTGGACGTGATGCTCACTGGACGTGATGCTCACTGGACGTGATGCTCACTGGACGTGATGCTCACTGGACGTGATGCTCACAGGACGTGATGCTCACTGGACGTGATGTTCACTGGACGTGATGCTCACTGGACGTGATGCTCACTGGACGTGATGCTCACTGGGCGTGATGCTCACTGGACGTGATGTTCACTGGGCGTGATGTTCATTGGACGTGATGTGTAATGGACGTGATATTCACTGGACGTGATGCTCACTGGACGTGATGCTCACTGGACGTGATGCTCACTGGACGTGATGCTCACTGGACGTGATGCTCACTGGACGTGATGCTCACTGGACGTGATGCTCACTGGACGTGATGCTCACTGGGCGTGATGCTCACTGGACGTGATGCTCACTGGACGTGATGCTCATTGGACGTGATACTGGACGTGATATTCACTGGACGTGATGCTCACTGGACGTGATGCTCACTGGACGTGATGCTCACTGGCTCACTGGCGTGATGTTCACTGGACGTGATGCTCACTGGGCGTGATGCTCACTGGACGTGATGCTCACTGGACTCACTGGACGTGATGCTCACTGCGTGATGTTCACTGGACGTGATGCTCACTGGACGTGATGCTCACTGGGCGTGATGTTCACTGGACGTGATGCTCACTGGATGTTCACTGGTTGTGATGTCCACTGATCGTGATGTACTCACCTAATGGTACTCACCTAATTGTGCTTGCGGGGGTTGAGCTTTGGCTCTTTGGTCCCGCCTCTCAACTGTCAATCAATTGGCGAACAGATTCCTGAGCCTACTGGGCTCTATCATATCTACATTTGAAACTGTGTATGGAGTCAGCCTCCACCACATCACTTCCTAATGCATTCCATTTATTAACTACTCTGACACTGAAAAAATTCTTTCTAACGTGTCTGTGACTCATCTGGGTACTAAGTTTCCACCTGTGTCCCCTTGTTCGTGTCCCCACCCGTGCTGAAGAGTTTGACTTTGTCTACCCTGTCAATTCCCCTGAGAATTTTGTAGGTAGTTATCATGTCTCCCCTTACTCTTCTGTTTTCCAAGGATGTGAGGTTCAGCTCCTTTAGCCTTTCCTCGTAGCTCATTCCTCTCAGTTCCGGGACGAGCCTGGTGGCATACCGCTGAATCTTCTCTAACTTTGTCTTTGTTTAACTAGGTATGAACTCCAGGCTGGAGCTGCATACTCCAGGATTAGTCTTACATAAGTGGTATACAGGGTCCTGAACGATTCCTTACACAAGTTTCTAAGGGCAGTTCTTATGTTGGCCAGTCTAGCATATGCCGCTGATGATAT